ATATATACCAAGCGACCTAAGAACAATACACACACATATATTCTATATATATATATATATATATATATATGTATATTATATATGTATATATATAAATATATTTATATAATTATACTTCTCTCATTCCAAACCCGGAGACAGTTGAGTCACTTGAGTCCCGGACACACGGTATTATTTATTTGATTTTATTTTGAAGAACAACACAATCCTAAATTGCAATCTGAGGAAAATTACTCTGGATTCTTTTGGTATAAATACATTCGGATTTGTATTTACCTCGTCATAAATATCGATTCGATTTATCAATGCGGTGACTCGCAGAAAGTGTAGTGTACCGTCTAGGTGGGAAAATACAAAGGACATGGCAGGGAAGATTGGTTCTACTCTGTTTACATATAAATAAACTCATTGAATATGGAGGGACCTGCGAATGTGGACACTGTCCGCAAATGGTCTCAAGAAATTGACCGCATGATCAATTCTAGCATTGACGAAGGCCGTGTGCAGGCTATTCTCAATGGTTTATTAAAGGGCTCTTTGTCATATACTATACTCAAGGTAACTAAGTTACGCGCGAATGGTAGTTGTTTTGGTGTGCCAGTGTTCCGGTGTATGTATCGCACTACTGATATGGCTTATAAGCACACATAGTCTACAGTCTTATAATATATGCAAAGTTATTACATGTACAGTATCAACCTGTAGAATCTCTTCCGATTCCCCACTTCCACAATTCACACCTGTTTTACTGTTTTGTATAATGTTTAACTAGGATTCCGATATAGGTAGGAAAGTGAATATGCTGCGACGCGAGCATCTGGAGTCCTTTCCGGAGCTCAAGCAAGGTGCCCGAGAGTTGATAAAGCTATTCAAGAACATCATGGCCCAAGGCAAAAGCGCGAGTGCAGCCGCAACCGCAAAGGCAAAGCAGCCAGTACCACCCAGTAGTCTCACCATGATCTGTAAAAAGACTGGAACATCGAGTGGCAAGACTGACAAAGGTTCTGTATCTATACCAGTGAATAACAGCAATAGTAAGCAAATCAATCAACCCACTAGTGTCAATAGCGTGCCCAAAATGAAACTCAAGATCGCCATCAAGTCGCCACCTACGTCGACATCGAATACGCAGGTAAGACCTCTGGTTGTTGAAAATAAACAGGACACCATACAGATTGTATCATACCCAAAGGTGAAATCTACACAGGGTATGAACCCGTCGAGATCACCCGCAGTGAATGCCACATCGTCTCACGCTGAGGGGAAATCTCAGGGCCACGGCCATGGCGACAGTACTCGATCCGGGGTAGTGGATCATCAAAGAAGGAATGGCTCGAAAGGTATACAAAGCTCAGATGTGAATGAAGGTTTGATATATTATAAAAGCGCCTGTCAGTTGTCTCTGTTCTTCTGTGTTTGGAATGAAGGGCATGCAAAAAAAAACGCATGTTAGAAGCGAAGTATAAGCACATGTTTATTCATATATTGATGTTTTTTGTGCGTTTGAAGGCATCGCAAGCAACCAGCATCGATTCTGACTCGGCTTACTTCCTATTACTATTTCTCTTCCCACTGTTTTGTGGAAGTAGATGTACAACGTAAAAGGCAACCCGATCCCAAATCCTCGGGCGAGCTTGACCTCTTCACACGCAAAAAGGCCCCTCGTATTCAACTGAAGTCTGCACATAAGGACGGGTATTCTGCCGGACACAGGACTCCTCTGAGCAACACATCTCAACAGCACCGGTCACCACAACCACACGCACGGTCACCGCAACCGCACGCTCGATCTCCGCAACCACCACCAAAGTCACCCCAGAAACTATCAAGGTCACCACATCCGACATTTAGGTCGCCACGACCAACAGTAAAGTCACCAAATCCGACATCCCGGTCGCCACATCCAACTTCAAGGTCGCCACATCCGACGTCACGGTCGCCACAAAAGCAGTCGCAGGTACAACGACAGCCGTTAAGGTCTCCGCAACCACCACCGAAACCTTCACAACCTCAGCCACGGCTGCCACAACCTCAACTGGGAGGAGGAAGGGATAGGCTACAGATCAACCGCCCCCCAACATCACAACACCCGCAGAAACGGGAAGCTAGCGAAGCACCCCTGGAATCGCAGCCTGTACTGAAGAAACCCCAGATTGCCAAGGCAAAACCGGCGCCTTTGTTCAATTCGGGAAGTAAGCATGTGAACCAGCGTGTGCGGCGAGAGAATGCCGAAGATGAGGCACGGAGGCGGCAGGCTCAGCAGCGGAAGGTTGACGCGGCCAAGAATTCTGACCGCTTCTACAATGAATACCAGCACACAGAAACTGAAAAGTTGGAACAAGAAAGAATCAAACAACTCAAACTCAATCCTCCACCGGATATGGAGACGAAGCAGGAGATAAAGACTACAGGAAATGTTAGCGCAGAAGTGCAAGACGCCACTGTGCGGGCTTCGACACCCGCTGGCCCGCAAAAGCCGCCTAAACCTTCTCCAGAAGATCTTCTGCCGAAGCTACGCATCCCCGAACGACACCCGGCGAACGCCCGATTGGCAAACCCAAAGAATTTAGTAAGCACCGTTCACGCCGCATACAATGTGAATCGGCGATGGAAGGGTGTGGATGGAGACGTAGGCTCAGATGGAACTTGGAGAAAATACAGTCAGACACAGGCAATATCGGTAGCTCCCGGACACCATATGGTAGTTGCGCCATATTCAACACCATTCTCTAGAGAACGGTGACAGGAGGAGCCATGACAGTCGCAATATAAACTAGCAGCCAATAAAAACTAATAGCAGCCATTAGAGGTCGTTAGTATTATAAGAACCTGTACTGCTCGATGTTGGTTTTCATTTGTTTATTATCGTTACCAATTGATCATTCTAAAGTAAAAGGCTTAATTACTATTCAGGATGCTAATTTAGTGCCCTGACACCACGTCGTTTGCCAATATTGTTCGGACTGCATCTCGATTAATCTTGAAATGCATCTTTCTGCGGCGAACTTCTCGTCCCCGCCGGTAAAAACGCTGGCTGTGGCATTATCCTGATTATTCGAAAGCGGTCGGGAAAGTGCATTCAGTGGCTGATAGATTCACTTCCACAACAATTACACCTAGCCACACAAGATGTATTACGAGCATAAGCTCACTTATCGTTCAATAGCACCGTTGGCTTAACCAAACTACTGGAACTGGCCGACAAAGATACGGATGAATGTAATTGTGATGCAAGAAATAGGATTAATTCATACCGTCCCTATTCCAAGGTCATCCATAAGTCCTCTGTTAGCCTCTCTTTGCTGCCATGACAGTTCTCCGTCCAGTTGGAATAGATGTCTGGGATCTTCACGAGCTGAGCAGGCAAATTTGCACTGTACAGAAAATATATGAGCGGATATGAATTCGCATGTATTTGCATAAGGCTATACTGAATTATCTAGTCTCACCCCCAGGCAGAAAGGCGAACGTAAATGTGGTTCAACACCGACACTCAGCGTCATGATCGACTTTCTACTGTACTTACCTTGCTATCGTATATGGTATCGATGAGAGTAATAAAGCGCCGAGCCTCTATTTTCTGAGCCAGTGTCATGACGGGTACGTCCTCTACGAAGATGGTCTCATATTGACGGCATATTTCCAGGTAATCAGCAGCGCTGTGTTCCTGTTAAAAGCCGATAGACGAATTGAGAGATTTCTTGTCAGAATCTCAAAGAAAAATACTCAAGAACAGGCCGACAGTGGAACTATAAAGACAGCTAGCAAATATTGAGGAAGGTTTCTTCTCAATGCTAGCCGAAACACAATATTCTCACCTTCTTGCAAATTTCTGAGAACGTAAAGTAGCAGGCATTGCCCACCGACCTGGGAACGCGTACAGGTCGACCATACACCGTCAGCTCCACAGCCTCAGACTCTGCATTTGGTTTATCGGTAAATATACTGACTACAGAAAAAATCCTTCTTGGCAGCGACTCAATCTCACGGAGTGCTCGCGAATTCTGGAAAAATGAAATCATGAAAACTGTAATACAGACTACACACACCTTGCGTCGACGATCCCGCAAGCTTTATGAAGAGCTTCTCCAGCTCCATCGGGTCGCTGCATTGGTAAGCCATCAGAATAAAAAACAAAAATAGAATACATTATGATGATGTAACGAAGCCATTATTGTCGCAAGCATTGTTGCGTGAAGCATGTTGAAGTGATACACACCTCACGTATGTATTAGCTTGTGACTTCTCTGCTTTCCTGTAATCTAGACCAGAGTTCAACGAGTACACTTTGCATCTTTCCTTCAAGACTTCGATAAACGGTAGGAACCCAGCCCTTTGTAGCCCACCCAGGTATAGCTCTGAAATGTACAATCAAGTTCACCGGTATGAGATAACACGGTCGAATACAATTTGTTATTTCATAGCTGTGCCATTTGCCGCGAAACGCACAATGAGCTCCTATTCTTAATCATACTTCCAAAGTCAAAGTACAAATCAGCACGCCAGGGGAATGTGCGAACGTAAAATTGAACGATATAAAATTCGATATATTCATACATGCATGTAGAAAGAAAATCAAATGACTTCGGAATTATCAATCATGATCAGAAAAAGGACATTCTACGTTCAATAAAATGTGAAGTTATGTATACCATCGGGGTGGCGATTAGACGTTGCTACAACCACAACTCCATTCTTAAACAAATGAGTGAAGAGCCTTTTCAGTATCATGGCATCGACAATGTCATGGACCTGTAGAGTAGAGAATTTGAAGCATGAAAAGAACGCGCGACAGTCTATATACGAAAATATACTGTTTGCCAGCTTTAAATTTGAAACACTCGGCCAACTTGGAGTACCTGCATCTCGTCGAAGCACAACAACCATGTGTCTCTGCCTATGGCCTCAGCAATCGGAGGTATAGGATCGAATGAAGTTTTGTTTTCACCATTGCTTTTCCATTTATGTACCCCTGCAGATTTTTGACAAGATCGTAGTGAGTGCCTGATACGACACTTGTCATTAATTGTCGAAAAGGTCACTTCAGGATGCAAAACAAAGCTACGAAATAGCCGCGCGAGTCTCCAACTTACTTAAATGGAATTCCTGCATAAATGCGTGGAAGTGTATCCGCCTCTTCTTCTGCACCGGCACTTGATCATAAAAAAGATCCATAAGCATGGTCTTCCCTGTTCCAACGCTACCAAACAGATACAATCCTTTGGGCGCCGTCACTTCTGGCTCTGATTTGCCCATCCCGAACATCTGACGTGGGAACAGGTAGGCATCGTATTTGATCGCTATTAGACTATGCTCTTAAAAAAAAATTACTTCCACGTTAGTGAGAGACACAACATTTGCCCTACCAACAAAGAAAACACTCGCTACGTAAAAACACAAATAGCGTGAAGAATTCATTTCAGGATACATTACCGATAGCAAACCAGTGGGAGGTTCGGGTGTCGAAGTTGGTTCATAATTCAGAACAGTGTGGTATAATTCATCTAGATGGCTGACGATTTTGCGCTGATATTCATCTCCGTTGAGTTGAGAGCTCCTCACCATACTATCATACCGTTGCAGTGGCGTTTCGTTTGAAGCTAGCACGGAAGCGATGTGTAGGAGTTGCGTAAATTCATAGGTAAATTATCGCAGCTTTACATAAATGATATGATACACCCGAATGAGCAATATCGGTTTATATCTGACATACTTGAGTAGAAGCGACTCCTAGGAGAACAGTCCACCCGATCAGTTAGCCTTGGCGGTATTACAAACCTAATTGAAAAGATTAATAAATGAGAGGCCTTCTTTGCAAAATATTATTTCTTAAACAATTACGCCAACTTGCCCAAGTGAACGATGGTCCTTTCAAAATGCTTAATCATTGGTACTGATCCTGCGTGCATGCAAAGAGGAAGAAATATAAATGTGAAGTAAACATGGTTGAGTCCTCCGGACCGTTCTAGCATTTATCTACTGGCGACGACATACCTCCCATTGTGTAGTGGAGCATATTTCCTGGACAATAGGGCCCGTTGCAGTGCGCCTGTTCCCGCTAAACTGTGTAGCCCATTGAAGTGCTTCATATCCACAGTCCGATCGAATGCGATAAGAGAACTAAATATACAGCACTGTGATACTCTACGCCACTTGGTACGTAAATATAATAAAATATGCGCCTAAATACCCGGACCGGCACACATATTTTCAAATTTTGATTTATGAGCTCTTTTATATATATTTATATATTTATACGTGGATGTGAATAGTTTTATTTGATTTTTGGAAAAGACCATTCGACAACACTATTTCCATAAAAATCAATACATATATCTCATATATATATCACGTGAAAGGTGCTCTCTGTATGATTTCTATCTGTTTGCCAAACTGCCTTTCTGCCAGAGTTTGGATTTTGGAAATATAATGGGAGTATCGATTTTTGTCTGCCTCTATTTTAAGCAGTCAATCTTTCCTGAACCACTACAGCGACTATGAGAGCCATACCATATGTTCATACATTGTATCAGACATACTTGCCATTTTTGAAATAAATAATATTATCTCTATATGGCCATATATATATATATATGAAATTTTAAACTAAAGAATATGTCTATCTTTACTACTGTCTATATTTACGCCGAAGTCAAACACTTCTCCAGTCGAATGCTTTCTTCCGCATACATTGTAAAAATAGAATCGGATTGTTGTAGAATCAATATTTATACTTAGTTCGTACCGTTAACAATTCCTATAGATATACTTTCTTATATAGCTGATATATGAAATCCTAAACTTTCAAATATATGTCTACCTTTACTGCTGTCTATATTTACGACGAAGTATAACACTTCTTCAGTTGGATGCTTTCTTCCGCAGACGTAAGACTAAAAATCACATTGTTGTAGAATCAAAATTAATACTAGTTCATACCGTTATCAATTTCAATACGTATACATATCTTCTTGAACGCATGTTGTTCCAGTGAGATGTCATATAATCACATGTTAGACAGAGTGTGATTTGGTTAATTAGTTCACCGAATAGAAACTAATTTTATAACCTTCATAAGTGTTCGACATCTTGTTATGTAATCTAATATTTAAACAAGGAGATTAAATAACAAGAATCTATTTTTCCAATTTCACTGATATGTAGAAACATATTTCTTTAGACATTTCATTTTCTTAGTCTTGGACCAACATTGGGTACTTCTTTCGCTTCTCACACAACATCAGGTAAGGCACCATGTCGTAATGCGCTCAAGCAACAAGTTTCTGATTCTGAGAAGGTGTGTGCCCTGTATTCACCAAAAGGTTGCAGCTTTAGATCAACCACGAAAAAGTATATTGGGACTTTGACACCAGTGTTGTCATTAATACGAAAGAGTAAAATAAAACACATATTTATGTATATGTTATTCAACAAAATACGTCTATGGTTGTTGACTGAGCCTTAGAGCCTTATCAGATAGAAACAACGCAAGATATGATTATCACAAAACCAGCTGAGACAACATTGTTTTATATACGCTAAGTATCATGCATGCGGGAGTACAATGACAAGAAATAAAAAAACTATATTATAACATACTATTACGCTGCATTGTAAAACAAATCAAAATGAAAAGAAGAATGTGACGTTACGCCTCACTAGTCATTACTATAGCATTGTAATGCTACGCTGCATCGTTGTAAAATATAATAAAGTTGGCACGAGAAAAAGGCGCTATGCGTCGCTAGACATCAGTGCTGGTCGTTGGTGACAAGTATTTATATCTATATGCCTATGGGGTACAGACACAGAGATCCCTGTTAATTCTAACTTAGAGGCGAGTAACCCTGAGGACACGGCGTATTTAACTTGGGTCAGCTACATGCCTTGTTCAGTGTATACTGAATATATTTCATATCCGTAGTCAGGGTTTGTGTTTTATGCTTGTAGCTTGTACGTAGGACAAGGGGTTTACTATGTATCTCACGTATTGGAGACACAGGTATAAAGGCAATTACTACTTTGTAGAACTTACTTTAGTGGCTCGCTAGCTACCCCTTGAAGATGGCGCCCGAAATGCTCCCAATATCTGGGGTTCGCACTCTCTCACAGAATATCAGGGATCAACTTCACCAGACAAATAGAATCCCTGGTTGCAGCTTTTTCCCTGGGTATCGCCTCTTTTTGCACCTATGACTTCCATGGCTTCCGCTGGCGACATCCCCGCAACCGACTAGTGCTGTTCAAAACATTCATCTTATCAACGGTTACATATGGCCTGAACATCATTTGAGCGCTATAACTCAGCGCTCAACCAAGCAGCAGTCATCATCACAGACACTAAGTAGCCTAGGTTTCCCAAACATCAAACAAACTTACTCCAAAAAAATTTTGGCCTGCTCCCCGCGCGACCATTCGTGGACTACCTTAGAAGTTGTTCGGGAATACAACTCGACTCAATGGCCAGCACAAATTCACTCACCTCTCGGACGCAACCCGCAGTATCTCTATGCTTACCTGAAAACTGTACACAAAATCACGAGTGGGCGTACACCCGACCATGTAGCCGTCCGCCAACACTGTGACGACATTAGGAAGAACTCAACAAACGCTGATCCAACAAAGAGATCGCGACAAATCACGAGTGGGCGTACACCCGACCATGTAGCCGTCTGCCAACACTGTGACGACATTAGGAAGAACTCAACAAACGCTGATCCAACAAGGAGATCGCGACAATGGACCGGTGCCGATAATACTACCAACTGGTTATGGGTAAACCCCCAACCTCAAACCGAGACAAGGCCAGACACGACAGTTTCAATCGCTGCTTCAAGCCTACACGGATTCAGCTCTGTGCTATGATCGATGGTGTCAGTTTCTTGTCAGCGCCGACCCGAATTGACCCAGCGCATATCCTCCATCGTCGACTCACTTGGCTCAAGCTTCAAATGGGAATTTACTGACCACTTCTTCCCATCGATCTTTCCCGAACCACTGCAACGGCTATGAGAGCTATACCATATGTACATACATTATAACTCATCCTATTGAAATAATTAATATTATCCCTATCGCCGGGTCTTACAACTTCATCAATAAACATGCCGCTATTGTCGTGACAATAATAACAAGAGCAATTTTTAACCAACAAGCAATAGGTGGTTTAATCAGATCAATGATGACTCTTGTCATTGGTGCATCTGTGTTCTAAGATAGAATTAAGGTATGTGGCCCACCATACTCTGTTTAATCTGAATGTTTTAACAAGGTTCGTAGTCGTTTTACGCTTGATCACAGAGAGTCTGCAAATTAAAATTGATCTAACATTCGCATTTTTCTAGTTTGTGTAACCATTCTGTGTATAGAAGATTTTCTATTACTGATATTTACTTTATATTGTCAGATGCTCTTCATTTGAGAAAAAAAAAAAAAATTTTGGTAGACACTCGAGGAACAGAAACTTTGACTTACACAGCATACCTATTATCAACAGGCTATTCATGTAGAGTATTTTACAAAGCGTTCTTGAGCCAGCGTTTCACATTAGAAGTTGGTTTAGTTGGGTTATCTTGCCAACGCCTGACTTTCGTCTATCGTCATGTTGACAACAAATCCTCGAACACGTCAGCCATTAGTGTCAAGTTTTTAATGATCATTCAGTTCTTTTTTGGCTCAATACGACATAATAACGTATGTAGCCGGAGTGTCTTTTTATACCCTAGTGTTCCCCATGTGCCAGTGGAAGACTTAATGGTTCGTCATTCCAATGGTCCGATTCCCTCAGTGTTGGTGATGTAGTTCCCAATCAGTTTCTAAGAACTCTCGGACTGTCCTTTGGTATTCTGATAGACTTCGGAGAAAAACTTTAAGTACTAATATATTGAAATATATAGAAGATGAGTTGCAGTAAATTGGGTGAATGACTGAAACAAGCCTAGTACACAGTTTGTTGGTTCATTCATTCACCTTTGATTTACCGGTTTTAGTTCGAGAGTTCTTTGTACTCCGAGTAGATCTACAAGTTCCAAATTCCTATGTACTTCCAGAACGCTTCTCAAGATTGTGCATAATTACACTTGAAATACAATTATTATTTATTTAGTAGCTCTAGTTATGATCGTGCTAAGCTTTTCTTAACTTCTTTATATCTAATTGACAGTTAGCTCATTAAAATTGCAAATCCATAGTCCTACTTTCTGGGTAACTTCATTCATCCTGGAAGGTGGTGAGCAATACATACTATGATATCTTCAGCTTTCAAATGCAGATATATATATCTTCAAGATTATGTCAAATTGTCTGTAAGTGTACCCGATGAATAGAATTACAGTTCACACGACTGAACATATTTTGTCTAGTTATGATCGTGCTAAGCTTTTCTTAACTTCTTTATATCTAATTGACAGTTAGCTCATTAAAATTGCAAAGCCATAGTCCTACTTTCTGGGTAACTTCATTCATCCTGGAAGGTGGTGAGCAATACATACTATGATATCTTCAGCTTTCGAATGCAGATATTTATATCTTCAAGATTATGTCAAATTGTCTGTAAGTGTACCCGATGAATAGAATTACAGTTCATACGACTGAACATATTTCGGTAGCAGTTAAAAATTAAAAATAGACATTGCATTTTAGAGATTGGCGGTAGGACAAAAACACTAGTACTTCAGAATTTATATTATTTTTATATAAAATTTGCTACATCTACTAATGTCTGATATTGAGCCAGGTATATGACATACATACCAAAAACTCACGCTATATGAGCCATCAAAAATGAATTTATAACACTTTGGTTATATTGAAAAGGCTTTTTCAGGGAACTTGTATTTGATTATTTGGAAACAGATAATAGCAAATGTGTTATCTCATTTGAGCTTATTATTTCTGATATGTGCTATCGTAAACGAGACTAGACCCAGGCGGTCGTGTATGCTATGAGATATTTTCGGCCACACGTTACATTTAAGGGGTGCCATAAATATGGTTTTGAAGTCGGAAGCTATATCTAGTAATTATTGCTTTACGGCTGGATAATTGCCTTGAGAGGTCGTTTAGGATCTTACTGAGGATACAAACATGTCGCGGTCTATATTTATCACTTGATACACTCCGTTACCCACTGCGCTATGGAAGCATAAGTGGTCACTTTAAAGGGTACTCTGTCAATGGGGTGACGTACAATTTGAGCTGCTT